TAGCAAGGAGAGAGACGGAGATGCTGAGGTTCCAAAGTAGACAAAGTAGCATGTAGGAGATGTGTTTGGGGAAGAGGGTACTGGGTCACACGCAAGAAGGGAAAGACTAGGGTCAGGAAGAGGACTCAGAAGGCTGCAACTAGTCGTGCATGAGGGGCAGACGCTGAGGCAGTGGCCAGGGGGGCATGGAGAGGCTGGACTCCACAGTCGGTGTAGGAGAAGATCTCCTGAACTTGGTACCTGAGCCATGGCAACGGTTTAGGGATGTTCTGGTTCACCACCATATACCTCACACCAAGGATGGTCTGGATCACAGTAGATGATCGATCATTATACATCTTTTGAATGAATGAACAAACACAGGTACTTCGCAAACCCTACCTCATGGAGTGGCTGACTAAACTGAGTAGCAGACCTTGCCAAGTCAATAGTTCCTGCCTAGAACTCCGAAATCCCAGTGCTTTCTCACATGAAAGAAAAATGTTGAAACTCATACCAATATTCTAACCTCTCCCAAATGCAATGCTCTGCTCCCACCCTTTCCTAGAAGCTCCCCTGTCTAGTGAGCAGAAGTGAGGAAGGTTCTGAAGGAAAATCCTAGAGACAGACCACTTATAGAACACTGGAGTAGTCCCCACTGTTGTTGGCACCATGGCCTGCAGCTAGCTCAGAATGATACCACACCCAAGGCCTACTAGAGGACTACAGGATAACCTCAGGTCTCAGCCCAGAGCCAGGCTAGAATTCCAGACAGCAGCTTCCAGAGCTGTATCCATGAGAGGAGTGGCAGGGAGGCCATCTCTGTGCCCAACTTCCCCCACAATCCATAATCCCCAGATGCATGTGCACACACTGTCCAGCACTACCTGCTAATATGAATTGCAGCTTAGAGGCATCAGGTATGGCGATGCGGTCAATGTACTCAGGATCCAGATATTTGATCAGGTCTTCAACTAGAAAAGAAGCAAGATGGAAAATGGAATGGGGCTGGGGAGTGGGGAATCTGACTTATGAAGGATATTAGGGGATATTAGAAGGATATTAGTGGTCAACCTTGGGGAGAATCTTGAGTGAGGAGATGACATCCACAGTGCCCATCAGCAGGCCTCCATCAGGCCCCACCTCCCTGTCTCTCCCCTCTGACCATCTCCTGGCTAACCTCAGCCTTTACAGCTGGGAACGCAATTGCCTCCACTATCCCGGGGCCCTCAACATTCCCACTGACCTATCTTCACCGAAGGTGGAAGGTCCCTTGCCCCTCAGTGCCACCAAGACAAGTCAGAGCTTTTTCAAATTTTTAGGTTGCTTGCTTTGACATAATCAAAATGGTATGGCTAAAAAAGCCTGGGGTTCTCGGGCCCAATTTCTTTCCTGCCTTTGAACCTTGCCTATGGAAATCCCATACCTCTCCTCCTTACTTTACTAAGAGGACCTTTGAGGCAGAACTCTTATCCCATAACTTAGGACACTGTCATGGGCTTGGAGTTTAAGCACAACACCCCACTTTACCATTTCAGCAGGGAAAAATCTTCACATTCTATCCCCATAGGGCAATTCCAGTGACCTACTGGGCTGGAGGACAAGGGCCAGGTCCCAGGAAGCACAGGCATGGGAAGGAGGTCAGGCAGGCACCCTATGGAATCACTTACTCTTTTTGTACAGAATCTTCACCCTCTCCCTCTTGCTGGCAATGTTCCCCAAAGCCACCTGTACCTTGACTAGGCCATCAGCCACCTGTAAGGGGATTGAAAGTTAATTCCAAGATTCACCTCTTGACTCAAGGCTTGAAAGAGGTAAAGAACCCTCATTCCCTCAGACTCCCAAGTCTCCTTGACCCAGCAAAGTAGGTTGGCCCCCTTCTCTTGTCTTAAGGGAGATGCAACCCCACCTTCCGGGAATCCTCAATGTGAAGGGGAAGATAATCATGTAGTCCTTGGGAAGTTTCAAGTCTGACTAGGGAGGTAATTAACTATACTAGACTTCATAGGGCATTAGCATATCCTATATATTCTATTCCCTGGTTCCTGCCTCTCGAGCTGAACCTACCTAGGCTTTAGGAGTAGAGGGTGAAGAATCCGGATATTAAAGGGAGAGGCCGGGCGCCTGGGTGGCTCAGTTGGTTAAGCGACTGCCTTCGGCTCAGGTCATGATCCTGGAGTCCCGGGATCGAGTCCCGCATCGGGCTCCCTGCTCGGCAGGGAGTCTGCTTCTCCCTCTGACCCTCTTCCCTCTCGTGCTCTCTATCTCTCATTCTCTCTCTCTCTCAAATAAATAAATAAAATCTTTAAAAAAAAAATAAAAAATAAAGGGAGAGGCCATGGGAGTGAATGATCTTACGCAGGTTTTAGAATACAGGGTAAGGAATGTCAATATTCAAGGGTCAAATACATGGGGAGGCAAACAGGACTAAGCAGCAACAGCCATAGCGGTAGGAGGAAAACAAGGATTTAGTGTCACAGATGTCAACCGGAGCAAATGTTTTGAGAAATCAGTTCTCAAATGGGGCATAATCTGCTAGTGACAACTAATTCCACAAGAAGTGTACAAAAAGACATCATTACCTCTGATACACTTAACTCCAGGGTATGCCTGACACTCCACCTTCAGTAAAAGGTCTTCCCATAGTAAAAAGGGGGTGCGGGGGGGTTAGGAGAACTAAGCTTCACAGTTGTCAAAATTCAGTCACTGGTGTGGACTGCCGGTCCATATCTCAACACCCAGTACCCAATCCCTTACCCTCTTAGTCCTGGCTCTTTGAGACCTCACCTCCCACCCCTGGAGCCTTCCTTATCCACCTTTCCTCTGCCTCCTCTGGCGTCCCATGGACCTCTTTCTGTACAGTATTCAGCAATTAATTACGCAGGGCTCTGTGACGGCCCTTCCACTGCGGACTTCAGCTCTTACTGAAACTCTCGTTAGTCAGCTTCTCGAGTGTGTCAGGTCTCTCCAGCTAGGCCGCGAGGACAGAGGCGGAATCTTAGTCACATTTTACACTGAGCCCATCACAATCGGCCCTAATAACCCGCAATGCCCTCCATGGAAATGGACCCCGAGGGTCCGATAAGCTCTGCAAGGTTTCGAACCTTTATTATTTCAAAGGCCGGGCTGCGGGAGATGAGACTGGAGCGGTAGCATCCATCCCGACGACCAGGCCAGCAGACCGCTCTTGCTCTGCCCCAGAAAGAGAGCACTGGATCCCAGATCGCTCACCTTCCGAGAGCCGCGCGGCCCGCCCGACCCGTACACCCAGCGCTCCAATTCCTCCACACGGGCCTGTAGCCGCTGCACATCGGTCACAGCCGCCATAGCTACCGCCGCCCCGCCTCAGCCTGGGAACAGCCAGGGGGCGGGACATCCGGCCAAATAGAGAAGACAGGCTAATCCGAGTGCCTGGGCGGACCTCGGTACGGGAAGTTGCATCACGATTCAGCCCTCCGATGCCGGAAGTGACCGGCAGGGCCAGTGAAAGGTGTCAAAAGCTGTCTGGTTACCTAGGCAACGGTTACCCTAGCCAACCTTCCAGCTGTCGAGCCCTATCCTAGCTTCCAGCTTCCGCTTGTCCAGACAAACTTTTGCCTTTCTTCTAATTCCAGGGTACCAGAGAGGTTTCCCACCCCATTCCACGAGATTGCCCATATAAATACACCTATTTTTTAAGGATTGGTCCATTCCCATAGATCAGTAGGAGACTCCGTGAGATGCCATAATCTTCAGGAGTCTTTTAGGGTTCAAGCGATTAAATGTCTTGCCCAAGGCCACTCCGCACTCTAGTAGTAGAATCAGGATTTGCACTCAGGCTGTCTGATTCATGAAATCCAGCCCCTCTACCTTCATGGACCTTTGCTGTTCTGTCTCCCCCTCTGAGAAACCCTGGCCCAACACAGCCTGTGTATACCACATAATCCCTTCCCAACCCCCAGACCCAAACAAAAAGGAGAGGAGGCACTGGAGAGGGAGGGACTGCAGCTTTATTATTCAGATGTGACCTGAGGGAAGACTCCTTCACAACACCCCAACCCAACCCTTCACATGGCTTCTAAAGGGAAGCAGGTCTGATTTGAAGAGGTGGGGTCCTAGAGATGACACTGACACAGGGAGGCACATGAAGAGATGATGGGGGTTACTGGGGGCAGAACTCTTTGGTAGATGCTGCTGGGGTTGGCCAGGGAGGAGATGCTCTCCCTTGACAATGAGGTAGATGTAACATAAAAACAAAAAACAAAAAACAAAAAAAACCAAACCAAAACTAAAAAAAACCCTCTTTGGCTTCAAGTCCACATGGCATGGTGGGGGGGGGGAGGTCATCTTCCAGGGCTGGGTCCTAGAGTGGGCACCCCGGAAGAATCAAGGTGTGGGGGCTGGGACTCTTAATCCAAGTGGGAGTTCTCAAGGTGAGGGGCTGGAAGGGGGCCCTGTAGGGAGTGGAGGTACAGGGTTGGTTGGGCCCTGGGAAGCTGGCACAGGCTGGCGACGGGCAAAGAGGACACCTGACAAAAGGGTGAGGAGATGGTGGAGGGAAAACACAGGCAGGAGGGGGTAGGCACAGAAACAGAAGAGGAAAACAAAAGTCAGTGTCCTGATTGTTAGAACACCGCACACATATCCCTGTCACAAACCAATGAGGACAAACCCCTTAGGTCAGTGGAGACTCCTATGCCAATATAGATACCCTCAATCAGGTAAACAAGAAATATTTACACTGATACATAGGCCCATGACAAGTCAGACATCCCATGGTACCCATGCCAGAGAGGTCATGCCTTAGACCCCATGCCATTGTAGACACCCCTTTAACCCATGCCATTGTAGCAATCCCCTGAACCCCACATTACCCATGCAAGTTTGGATATCCCTGAACCTCATGCTAGCTGAAAAAATCTAAAATCCCCATGCCAAAGCAAATACCCCTGACTTCATGCCAGTATAGACAGCCTGCTGTACCCATACCAGTGTAGACCACCCCGTTGATCTCTAGGGCCATGTTGATACTGCTGATACCACTGCCTGCCAGACTGAGAGGCCCATCCAGCCGCTCTTCTGTCCAGGAGGGGCAGGGAGTCACATTTTGGAGAATCAGACTTCAGATTTATAAGCTCCCCCCTCCATCCTTATAGACAGCCCCCATTCCACTTCGGCCCGATACCTATAATCACACAGTTGTCTATTGAGGAATCTTTCTGCCCCACCTCCAACATCTATGTCCTCCCTCAATGCACAGGTCCGAAGCCCTCTCAGCAACAAGCCCCTCCTCACCCCTCAGGGGAACCTTGCCACGGGGCAGGAAACTGGGGGGAGCTCCAGGTCGAGGTGGATCCATGTGCCCCATCAGCACAGCCCTCTTCTCTGGGGGCTCCTCTGGTGCCAACTTCTCCCTTGCAGGTCCCAAAGCCAAGCCCACAGGCAGTGCCAGTCGAGGGGCTGGAATTCCGGTTTCCTCTGGAAGAACAGGTCATTCAGCTCTCCTGGACCAACCAACTCTGCCTCTGCATTTGGTTCTCCCCCCAGGCTTGGGACCAGTGGAGGTCACCCAAGCTGAAGCACCAATTTTGATCTGCCCAACCCCCATCCAAAGTCTCAGCCTCGAGGCACTGAAGCTGGAGAGCCCAAAGGGCCAATATATATGTCTAGGTTGGTCCAAGATAATGTGGGTGCTTTCCGTGTTCTTAATTATTAAATAATACAGGTCACAGGAGGCAAAAACTACATGCAAATAGGAGCCCTAGGTGGACAGGTGTGGAATGGAGCTCCTCTAGATAAAGGACCTTTTTCTGAGCTTCAGGTCCACACAGCAGGAACCCGTACGCCAGACCTCCCACGGCTTCATTGACCCCAAACCTCAGTACCCCTAAACCTTAGCGGTCAGCAAACCCCAGTGCCCTGTCAGTCCTTACTGCCCTCAGACCTCAATGCCCCCCAGACTTCAGAGTCGCCACATTTTAATGTTCTCTGTATCTCAGCGCACCCTCTAGGTCTCAGAGACGCCCAAACCTCAGCCTCTCTCCCCTCAACACCTTTCTTAATGGGGCTCGGGCTCAGCTGCGCGCAGGCGTGCGCCGGCAGGCCGGAGGCGGAGCCTTGGGCAGGACGGGGGCTGGGCGTGGGCGTGGGCGGGGCGGCGCCAGGACCCAAGATTTGGCCCGGAGTTCCCCGAGGGGTAGGCCCAGCTAAGCCGTAGAGCGGGGCGGCGGTGTAAGCCTGACGACGGCCTTCGCGCCGGTTGCTGTCGATGGCTGCCTGGAGCTCCCCCGGGGAGCTGAGCGCCCGCGTCTCGCACTCGTACGGGTACAGGTACTTCATGTACCTAGAGGCGAACGAACGAGGAGGGGTGGGTGGGAGGCTGGACCCAACTGATCAAGCCCACAACCGAACGTCTGCCTCTGGGCCCTCCACGCCCTGTGGCCCCCTTCCCAAGCCTTCCCCCCCTCCGCTCGCGCGCCTGGCCTCACTGGGTGCGTAGAGTGAAGGCTGCGGACGTGATGGTGGTGGGCAGGCTGAGGCCGCGCGTGACCTCCCGCCACACCTTGCGGTTGATGACTTCCACCAGGCCGCCTTTGGCTGTCACCAGGCGAAAGAGCGCGTACAGGTCCAGCACCTGCTTTGCCATGATGGGCACACGGTTCACTGGCGTCCCTGGTGGGAGGTGGACAGAGAGAGTCAGGACACTAAGACTAAGACCCTGTCTGCGGACATCCTCAAGGACTGAAGGAGTCGGTTGCCTGGACGAGGCCAGGGTACAGGGCGGGACTTCTGAGAAAAGGGAAGAGGGAGGGATGGGGAGGTGGGATTCCAGGCAAAGCCCACAGAGCCCCCAAGCCCTGCACTGTAGCAGGAAGGACAGGAAGCTAGATCAGGGGTCGGTAAACTTCTGTAAAAGTCCAGACGGTAAATATAGGCTTTGAGGGCCAAACCGCCTCTGTCCGAACTACTCCACTCTGCCGTTGTAGCTTGAAAGAAGGTATGGAGGATATTTAGAGGAATGGGCCCGGCTGTGTTACAATAAAAACTTTATTTACAGACCCTGAAATTCGAATTTCACACGTCCTGAAATGTTACTGAAATGTTATTCGTCTTTTAATTTTTTCCACTATTTAAAAATGTAAAAACCATTCTTATCTCGCAGGCAGCTAGATTTGGCCAGCCGGCTTTAGTTTGCCGACCCCTGGGGTAGACCGTAGTAAGGACTTCCGGACAGTGCTGACGAGCTGGACTCCCCTAAGCTGGACTCCCCTAAGCCGCGGCCGGGGTATGGCTGCCCGAGACCGGCGGATGGCGGACGGGAGGAGAAGCAGCCCCCGCCTCGGCTCGCCATCTCCGCAGCTCACGCCGCCCCCGCCGGCCAGTCCTGACAAAGGGGCCTGTCTGCGCTGAGCGATGGGCCCCAGTTAATTCCTTACCGATCCCGTCCCCTTCCGCCGCCGCCTTTGGACCCGAACAATTAGCTGCGGCCTGATTAATGGGGGGAAATTATCGGTCCCGCGGGACCTCCTCCCCCAGCAGAGGGAGCGGAGGGAGGCAGGGACCAGAGGGAGGCAGAGCTCCCGGCCTGAGGGTGATGGAGGAAATGCTGGGACCTGCTCAGACCACCCTAACCCACTTCCCCAGTGAAGGGGAGACCTTGAGGAAGGGGAGGGAGGGGACACTGGGACCAGAATGACTGGGCCTCCCTGGGAAGCAAAAAAGACCTGGGGCCCCACTGAGGGTCCCTGGCTAGAAAGGATCCCAAAAGGGGTGCTGGCCCTACAGTGGGAGCCTGGGGGTCTTTGACCAGCAGCTGCACTAAGGGAGGGGGGTGCAGTGCAGCTAGTTAATTAGTGGCTTATCAGTCCAAGCTCCGAGTGAGTTAATTAGCTTTGTAGAGAGAGATAATGAGTCAGTCTTCGGACCCATGAATCTGGGGAGAAGCCTAAGTGATGGACTGCCGCCCACCCTGATCTCCTCCTGGACCCTTGCATTTTCTTCTGGCTCTGAGATTCCTGGAAAAGAATTCCCCCTCCTCCACAACCCCAACTCGCATGGTCCCCAGCCTACCCCTTGAGAAGTCCTTCTTTCAGTCTAATCCCAGTCCTTCCTGCTGTGGAGCACATTGGGTGTCCCCTGCCTAAAGCAAGGGGAAACTGAGGAGAGACAAGGCTGGACAAAGGGCCACTGAAAGAGGAACAAGGCATTCCCAGCCCCCCAATCCTGGGGACCCCCCCCAGGCCAACCCCCTACCAGTTCCCCCTCCCACCCTCCCATTGATCCCACACTCATTAACCTGCCAGTGGGCAGGCCACTAATTAATCCCTGGGTGGAGGAGGGGGGCAGGGTCAGAGGTTAAAGACGCTATTGAGGGCCCAAAGGATAGGTGTTGCCAAGCTCAGGCCTCTGCAGAGAGGACCCAACCTAGGGACTAAACCCTGGGATCTCCCTTCCTCAAAACTGGTAGGTGGGGGTCCTTCCCTTACATCATCCCACTCACCCCTCTTCTGCATGAAGCTAAACAGGTCATCCAGAAATTCCTTCCTCTTGGGGTCTCCATCAAGCTCGTACAGCTGGGGAAGGACTGAGGTCATTTTTCAGCTCCACTGACTGCCCCCCTCCCCCTGGTTCCCCAACTCAGGTTATACCCTGAATAAGAGTTCTCAGCTGAATGGGTGGGTAGGGTCTGAAATGTGGACTCCCTGGCATTAGACTCTCTCCCCATGAGGGTAGGTAGGGGCACTTTTTTCCGATATACACACAGACCCTCCACTGGCCAGGGGGGCCCTGGGAAGCTCTAACCATCCCTCTGGGGAATAGGGGATGAGAGGAGGCTTAGGAGGCTCAGCCTGCCCTCCAGGGCATACACAGAGCCCCAGGGAGGAAGTCAGGCTAGGATAGTACGTCATACTGAGGAAACTAACAGCTGTCTCTGAGGCACTCATTCACTCTTGTTCAATTCCTGCAAAGGCTTCTTGCTTTTCACATCCCCATGTACCAGGGCTTGGGACGAAAGGCAGAGATACCTCTAACCCATTCCTTGGGCACAGTGGATACTCAGAAGCTCCTGGATTGAAACCTGGGGCCCCTCAGCCTACCTTCTGGTCTCTTTCCAGGGACAGTGACCTACGTACTACAGAGACTGCCACAGAGGTAATGGCCCTGCACCACCCAGGACCTGTGGGGTCAGAACTTGAAAGGCCCAGAGGTCATCCCACACATTTCCAGTCACCTGGAGCCCCATCTCCAGTATCACCTCCCAAATACCACCCAGGAGAAACAATCCCTAGAGTAACACTCATTTACCCAGAATAACAGTCCCTGAATAACACCAATAGGTAACACTCCATTCCCCAATAAGAACTCTCAGAATAAAAAAAACACCCATGAGTAACAAACCCCAGAGATCCACTTTAGACCTACACTCCCACAAGAACTGAGCCCAAAGTCTTAGATGGATACCCACAAATAACAAACATGCTCTCCAAGTAATAATCTCCAGAATTACACCCAGGAGAAACAGTCACAGAGCCACAGAGCTCTGAATAACTCTCCCAGTTTGACACTAATGCCACAGAGTACTAGCCACAGATGAACACTTCTGGAAAATACCCAAGACCAGCATCCTACAAGTAACATCACCAGAACAGCACACCTAGAGTCAGAGCCCTTCATAATACCTTCATAGTGACAGCCTGAAGCAGTGCCTTAGAATAACATTCAGATGGGTTCCACGGAGAGGAAGAACCTCAAATTAAGGCTCTATGAGTAAGATCTGGTCATTCCCAGCTGTACAGGAGCCCTTTAGTCACACTGCGGCTGTAGTAGCCATCACAGACTAGGAACTGTCACCCATAGAACTCAGGCCAGGGAGAGGATTTGGATGAGGGCAATGCAAGAGGGAAGAGATGAGGGGGGTATCAGCTTGCCAAAGGAGTGGCAATCTCCAGCCTGCTTCCAAAGACAGAAATAGGCAGCCCAGGAAACCCCCACTGGTTGCTGGAATATGACCTTGCGACTTGATGTGTGAGAAGGTAGGGTAAGATGGTTCTGGCACTGGAATCCCCACTCCTCAGATCCCACTCCCTCAGAAGAATTCTTGAAGCTCCTCACCCCTCCCACTTTTCCTTCCAGCCTCACCAAGAGCCTCCAGTCTGTCATGCCTCCTCCATGTTTCTGGGCGTCTCCTGCACCTTTCAGGGTGTGCCTATGCACTTCTTTCCATGTCTCTGGGTGTCTGTTTCTCCCTCCCTGTCGCTATCTATCTTTCAATCTTCCCCCTGTCTCTCTCCAGGTCTCTGTGCCTCTGTCTTTCCATCCTGCAGAGGGCAGTGGGGGTGGGTGGGCTAAGAATCACCTGGCTTTGCTTTTGCCCAGAGAGGAGAAAGGGGAGAGGGCCTGATATGGAGGGGGTCCTACCTGCTTGAACTGTTCCTCGTAGGTCCATTCATGGGGCTGAGGTCCAGGGGGTTGGCTGGAAGGTGAGCTGGGGCCCTGTGTCCCTGGATGGCTCTCCTCAGCTGCCTCCTCCTCTGCACCGGCTTCCTCCCCTTCCTCATCCTCTTCAGCATCCTCCTCTTCTTCAGTCCCAACCTCCCCCAAGACCCCCTCAGGGGCCTGAAGGGTCCGGGGGGCAGGCAAGGGAGGTAGTGGTGGTGGCAGTGAGTGTGGAGGGGCCAAAGGCCCCACCCCTTGGGCCAGGCGGGCTGCCTGCTGCCTCTGCAGGGCCTCCATTACAGCTTCCAGGCGCAGTCCCCCCGCTGGTGGGGGGGCTGGCACCAGGCGGGGCCCGGAGGAAAGGGCCGCCTGTGGGGGTAGGAATTATGAGTGTTGTACCCTGCTGCCCCCACAACCCCCAGCACAAGAGGAGGTGTTCACTGATTCAGGGAAGTGTGGGGGGCCATAAGAAAAAAGCAGAAAGATAGCTTTCCCAGAGATCGACAGAGACAGAGGTAGAAAGAGCAGGAGAGACAAGAAACCAGACCCAAAAGGACAGAAATGGACATTGACAGAGGACAGGTAGAGACAGCAGATCAGAGAGGGTGACAAGGACCAAGAAACGGGGGGGGGGGGGTGGAGAGTGAGAGAGCGAGAGCATGAGCGAGAGCCAAGCAAGAGACAATGACAGGAGAGATATGGAAATAGAAATAGAGATGGGACTGAGAGACAACGAGAGACAGAGGTGGGGAGAGACAGAGATATCAGGCAGAGACAAGAACAGAGAGACAGAAGTGGGGAGAGATGAGATACTGGGTAGAGAGGGAAGGTAAGAGACATAGAGGAGCAAGAGATAAATAACAAGACCTGAGTGACAGGCAGTCCAGAGAGAGGGACAGAGACAGAGGTGGAGAGAGAGACAAATAGTGAGACAGTGGTTGAGAGAGACAGGGAAAGACCGACGCAGCGGGAGACAGAGCCTGAAGAGAGAAAAGATTAGAAAGAAACAGGGCGAGACAGTAAATAGAGGGAAACAGAGACGAGGCAGGGAAAAACCGACGGAGAGACTGGGCAGAGACGCAGAGGACCAGCACTGAGGAGGCGCGGGCACAGGGGGCGGCGGGGGCAGAGCCCGGGACCGGGCGGGCTGGGGACCGCGACCGCGGGGTCTCGACGCCCGCTCTCTGGCTCCCCACGCCCCGCGGCGCACTCACCAGCCTGGCGCGGCCCGGTGCCCCCGGCGTCTCCACGGCGCTCCCTCTGCTCCACCCGCCTCTCGGGCAGCCCCTTGCTCGGCTCGCTTCCCTGCGCGGGGTCCCCAGCCGTGCGCTCCTGCCGCCGTGCGCTCTTCTGGCCGCGGTGCGCTCACGCGCCGCTCTGCCGGCGGCCGCCGCGGGGGCGGGACCCGAGAGGGGCAGGGCGGGCGGGGGCGCGGGGGGAGAGGCCCCGGGGAGCTCTGCCGCTCCCAGCGCCCCAACAGGTGTTTCCCTCTCCGTACTGCCAGATTGGGGGGAGGGGGCGCTGGAGAGCCGCCGGGAATCGTTTAAAGGAGAGTGAGGAGCCCAACATCCTAGGACTCTGGACCAGGGCCCCGTCACACCCACAAGGCGTGCCCCCCAAATCCACACTCGGTGCCCGGCATTCACACACAAATAGCCGTGTTCACACCCTGTCACAAGCTCAGGCACACAGCTGCCCTGTCTCACATATTTGGTTACACGGACATTATAGCGCCAGTGGCCTTGGGCAGGTTGTGATCATGAGGGGAGTCACTCTGCAAGATGCTGAGGTGAATGTGGAGGGCCTGCACAGAGAGAAAGCTTCTCCCCCTGCCCTGCCCAAGTGCTGTCCCCAACAGCACGCACGCTGCAGATTGCGCAGTACGTACCCATGGTGGTGGACTCACACATCTGCACTCACACACTCAGGTCTCTGAACTGATTCCACATCCACAGCAGCAGGCTACACACACCACAAGCAGATACACAGTCACACTTTCTTCCTTCCTTCCTTTCTTTTTCCTTTTTTTTTTTAAGCTCTTGTAACCTTCTGTTATGGACATTTTCAAACATATACCCAAGAAGAGTGCATAGGATTATGAACCTCTGGTATCCATCCCACATTTCAACTGTCATTATTACCATTTTGCCAATCTTCACACACATCCTCAACCCTTTTGGATGTGACTCCGCAGTGTGTATCTCCAGACCCCTTCAGCCAACTGTTCCTGGCCCACTCTACCCCCGGTAATCCCCCAGATGCTGTATCTTATTTGGGGGCCCTGAGTGGCAGGCCACAGTTTTTCCTCCGAGAAGCCTGGACCCCACTCCTCCCAGGCACTCTCATGCCTTCTCCAGTTTCTTCCTGTGCCCAATACGATGGACCTACTAAATGCATGAGGGCCATCCAGGAGTGATTCCAAGTGTGTGAGTAAACAACCTGTATCTGTTGATTTGACACCTGGCATGAACGTGAAACTCACTATGTCAGATCCAGCACCAGGGTCCATCCCCTGACCTCATACCCAGTGAGGCACACTGTTCCCAGGGCCAAGATTCCTTTAGGAGGCAGAAATTCAGGTGTGACTTTCCCTCCTTCCTCCTCCCCCACCCTCTCCCAATCAGTCCCCTCCTCTCAGACCCAGCTTGCCCTGGCCTGGATCACTAGCTCTTCTCACTTCTCTTCTTGTGCTGGGTGACACCTTGCTGCTCTTCTTGTCCTCTAGCCTCCACCCTTGCCCCCTGTCCAGATTCCACTGCAGCACTAAGTCCTTGTTCTCTTTGGCCCATCTCTGGCCATACTAAAACTCAGTACTGCTCACACTTTTGGCTCACTCCAGTGTCTTCCTGCTCAGATTTCAGACCTGAGAGCCAGCCAAACCCCAACCTCTCAAGAAGCCTTGGTGATCCAACTGCCTTCAGTATTGATGCCTGCTCCCCCGTAGCTTTGTGTGGTGTGAGTTCTCCTGGGGAGAGTCCTGCTCCCTCCTCTGGGCCCAGAGGGGAGAATCTGAATGTGCAGAAGCAGACATACTCTAGGGGCTCCTGGGGAACTCGGACAGAGGGTGGAACTCTGCAGAACCCCTGTGCCCAGTTTGCTCCCCTTAAACCCCACCCCTCACGCCCCCCCCCAACCACCTGCTCAGAGAAGAGTAGGTGCCTGGAGAGAAATAGATGGTAAGATTTTTCTTGGAAAGATAGGAACTGGCTTAGGGAAATTCCAGTTCTGAGAGTTTGGAGATTGCTTTGCAGAGGGCGGAGGAGGACAGAGGCAAGGGATTGGGCAACTACTCCCAAAAGAAAGGAAATCAATCATCAATCAAGCATAGTAAACCTGTCTTTGGGGTCTGGGCCAGGAGGGCTACAACTGGGAAGGGCTGAGAGGAAGGAATAAGCTTCATTGGGACCCGGTTTCTCTCTCTCTTCATCTGTGAAGAGGAAAGGCTGTCTCTTACACCCTCACTTAGCTCCCATCTGATCCTAAACCTCACAGAGACAAAGACAGACAGACAGACGTAGACCTCCATTCATCCAACATATTTACTGAGCACCTACTTTATGCTAGACACTGTTGGAAATGGGAATAAATAAAACAAAGTCCTTATTATAACGGTATAATTCCAGTGGGGGAAATACATAGTATATCAGATGGCAATAATTAAAATGGGGAAAAATAAAACTGGGTTGAGGGGAATAGAAAGGGAAGGATACATGTTACCTATTACTTTGTAACAAATTACACTTAAACTTAGCAAGCTTAGGGGCGCCTGGGTGGCTCAGTTGGTTAAGCGACTGCCTTCGGCTCAGGTCATGATCCTGGAGTCCCAGGATCGAGTCCCACATCGGGCTCCCTGCTCGGCGGGGAGTCTGCTTCTCCCTCTGACCCTCCTCCCTCTCGTGCTCTCTATCTCTCATTCTCTCTCTCTCAAATAAATAAATAAAATCTTTAAAAAAAACTTAGTTAGCTTAAAACAACATTTATTTTCTCACAATTCTGTGGATCAGGAATTCGAGAGTGGCACGGCTGGGTGGTTCTGGCTCACCACTTCTCATGAGGTTGTAGTAAAAATGTTGGCTGTAGCTACAGCTACGTGAAGGCTTGACTGGGATTGGAGGATCCCACTTCCAGGATGGCTCACTCACATGGCTGTTGGTAGGAAGCTGTTCTCCCCAGGTGGACCTTTCCATAGGATAGGACCTGTGCCTGAGTGTCTTCCCAACATGGCAGCTGCTTTCTCCCAAAATGACCCAAGAGAGACTAAAGAGGCAGCAATGCTTTTTATGGTCTAGTCTTGGAAATCACAGTCACTTCTGCCATGTATTTGTTAAAATTACATTAACTAAGTCCAGCCCATATTCAAGGGGAAGGGAATTAGTCTTCACCTCTTAATGGGAGGAGTATCAAAAATTTTATGGAGGCATTTTAAAACCACCACAGAGGGGTGCCTGGGTGGCTCAGATGGTTAAGCATCTGCCCTGCATTGGGCTCCCAGCTCAGAGGGGAGTCTGCTTCTCCCCCTGCTTGCTCTCTCAAATGAATAAATAAGAAATCTTAAAAAAATAAAATAAAATAGGGGCACCTGGGTGGCTCAGTTGTTAAGCATCTGCCTTCGGCTCAGGTCATGATCCCAGGGTTCTGGGATCGAGTCCTGCATTGGGCTCCCTGCTTGGCGAGACTGCTGCTCCCCCTGCTGTGCTCTTTCTCTGTCAAATAAATAAGTAAAATCTTTAATAAATAAATAATATAATAAAATAAAGTAAAATAAAACCACCACAGAACAGGGAAGGGGACAGTGCCTGGCTGGCTCAGTTGGCAGAGCATGCGACTCTTTTTTTTTTTTTTTTTAAGATTTATTTTATTTATTTTAGAGAGAGTGAGCGAGCAGGGGGAGGGACAGAGAGAGACAGAGACTCTCAAGCTGACTCCCCGCTGAGCGTAGAGCTCAATACAGGGCTCAATCTCAAGACCATGAGATCATGGCCCGAGCCAAAATAAAGAGTCGGAAGCTTAACCGACTGAGCCACCTAGGCACCCCAGAGCATGAAACTCAGGATCTCAGGATTGTGAGTTTGATCCCCATGTTGAGTTTGGGGCCTACTTAAATAAATAATAAATTAAAACAAACTAACAAACACCCTTCTGTGTTTACAAAATGTTAAGGGAAGAACCAAGTATTGAAAGAGTGGAGGAAGAGAGCCATAGGCATATCTAGGGAAGAGCACGGCAGCTAGAATAGCAGGTACAAATATCCTGCGGTGGAAGTTTGCTTGGTGTGTCAGAGGAAAGCAAGTAAGCCA